GTTTAAAGGCAACATTGGTTTTCATACTTGTCTCAGTTTAAAAAAAAAAAAAAAAAGTAATATGCTAAATAAAATCTTAAAACATTTGCAATTTTGGTATGATTTTTTTTGTGTGTCTAAATTAAATTGGCATTCAGAAACTGAATTTTGCATTTCCTTGGTGTGGTCTCTGTTTGATAATAAAATTGGTTTGATAAAAAAGAAAAAAAAACACAAAAATCAGGAAAGGGGCAAATACTTTTACACATCCCTGTATATAGACTATTCTTACTGGTTGATTGCAGGACAAAATAAAAGTCAAATTAAGAACTGTGTAACACAGCAACCTGCAATTCCCAAATGATTGTTCAACCTTCCTTCTGTACAGCCGAACAGTAATATCGACATAAATAGATTTTAAAACAAACCCCAAAATCTCAAGTATGAAATCAATTGACAAAGATGAAAACAGAATTTTTTGCCATAATTAGAGTACGTTTTATCAATGTAAAATAAAGTTGGAGTTTTTTTTTAAGCACCGCTATATTAATTTTATTTCGTTAACACATGAAAAAATATATTGTTTTAGTTATTTTGGTCGTTTTTATAAACTATAATCTTTGCTGGAACAGATTAGCTCCACTATTGCTTCAGTTTGTGAATATTCAGCAACTCCAAATTAGCTATCGCTGTATGTTTATCGTTATGGTGATTAATTTCTTTTTCATGTCATTGGTCTACACTCCAAAATAATTGCAATATTTTCTTGTACACTAATTTCATCTCATTGGATTTTGTTGAATTTGTAATTTTGTCAAACAAGACATTCACTGTGTGAAGGTGATTTACAGAAAAAGATTCATATTTATTTAAATTATTTTCACGATACAAGTTCATTCTGCTCATTAATAGATTCTATACAAAGTGTATTTTGTTATTCATCATTTATTCCTATGAACCCTTCAATTGTTTAACCTTTGCAGTCTGGGGTGGGATAATCTGAATTTGAAACGGGACGAAAAACTCAAGAAGAGAATTGGTTTCTTTCAAATTCAGAGAATATTCTTCTGATATCTTCTGCGATGTCCATGTTTGAGGCTGATTCTGGTGGCTGCCGAGAGCCTTCAGAGCCTCCGTGATGGTCAGTTTGCCGTGAGGAATGTTCTGCACATTTGCAAGGCCTTGTGAGTCGTTGGGGAGAGTGAACTTTATCGGACGTGTCTTTGCTCCTCCGTCCGCAGACAGGTCCTTTCGTGACTGTATAAACAGAGAGATTAAAAATATGAATTACCAATGGGGAAAAGGAATAAGTGCATGCCTAGGACTTAAGGCAAATACGGCATGCATTTACCAACACAACTGCATAAAATATGCTGCATTACAGAAAACTGGGACATATTTAAAAAAAAAAAAAAAAAGGGGGACATATTTAAAAAAAAAAATAAAAAAACTCCAACCTTCTCCTCAAGAACATAAAGTGGAGACGGCGGCCTTAAAAGTACGTTCGAGACAACTGGATTAAAGTTATGGCTGAATACTCTGAGATCGCCACAATAGCACTGTTGCTATTTCCGACATCCTACCTGTGTGAGGCGGGGGTTTTCTGCAGCAACGGCGACTAAAACAAAATTACGAAGTAGACTGGACATAAAGTTGGTGTGAGTTGAGGTGTCATTGTCTCCTATTGCCCCGAGATGGGACCGTCTGGTTGCAGAAAATCAAGCTCGGTGCTGTGGTGAGTCGTCATTTTCATGCACTTTGAATTTGCGTTGTATCGTATCTTGAATGCATTAAACATTGCCATAGCGATCGGAGTGTTGCGGCCAGATTAGACGCTCCTTGTGTTTATTATTATAGTTCAAAAACGCCACAGTTTTCATGCAGCTCATACCATATTATTTTGTTGTATTATTTCCGCCACACCTTAAATGCCGGTCCCTGAAAATATTGTCTGACATAAACCGGTCCGTGGGGCAAAAAAGGTTGGGGGCCCCTGTTGTAGATGCTCCTTTAACTGCAATTAGTCTTTTTGGGGTATGACCCGACCAGCTTTACATGTCTAGACAATGAAATTATATCCATAGGATTTATTGCTATGTTTCGTTCATGTTCAATTCAGTTATGGCTATTGCTCATCATGTAAACTGGCATGTGGGAGAGCGTGTGAGTGAGGAGCACAGAGAGTGATCTGATGACTAGTGGTTCAATGACAAAAAAAAATAATAATAGGAATAAATTGTGGGTTTGCGATTTTGACACTGAAATGGACAATTGCACGAGGTTGGCTAATTCAAAAGTATATCTTCAGTCATAAAAGGTTGAGCGCCCATGATCTGAATCATTCTTTTGCATTTCTGCCTTGATTGAGTGAATGGTGCTCGAAATGTTCAAAGCTTGTACTTTTTTTTTAAATGACTTAAACCTGCTATAAACTCTTCCACAATTTTATATGTGCCCTGTCTGTTGAGTTCCAAACTAAACTAAATCACACACAAGTGGACTACTTAGCTTTTTAAGGCTATCGATTGCATTACTTTGCACTTTTGCAGTGCAGAGGTCTGAATACAAAGGCACACCACACGTTACAGATTTATATTCGCTTCACATTTTGAAAGCCTTCGATCAGTTTCGCTCCACTTCACAATTTCATGCCACTTTATGTCAGTCTATCACATAAATTCTCAGCAAAATACACGTTTCCGCGTTTTAACGGTCACAAAATGTGGCAACCGTTAAAGGGTTTTGAATACTTTTTCAAAGCACTGTCTTTCAGCGACAAACATTATTGTATAAAATCTGTACAGCTGTAAATGAACTTTTGCAAACACTTTCAGTTAGCTTCTAGGAGTACTGACCTTAACTGGGCCGGCTGCTTTATCTTTCGACTCCACAAACACTGACTTCAAATTTAACAATAGAGGATCGTTCTTCTGGTGGACAGCTCCCGATACTTCTGCCGAAAATGTATTTGCTGTGGTGGGCAAAAGGACATACTCTCAATTTCGGAATTAGGAAACGCATGACCCCATGTTTTTCTCCTTCCGACCACCAATCAGTCAACGAAAGCCTCCATACTCTTACCGTCATTTTGACCAGTGGAGGTCGGTTGAGTGAGCTGGTGCCTCGGCGCAGACCGAGGCTTTTCCTTCGAAATTTCTCGCTCAATCCTGTTTTCTAGATTGAAATTTCTAAACATTCGCACGACCCGTGCACCCATTTTACCCAACACGATTCTTCGTCTCTATTAGTGGGCAGCAAACAATAGTGAAATGTTAATTAACGCCATCTAGTGGATTGGAGTTTTCAGTCGCTCAGGCTGCTTCTCCTCACTCGCTCTGAAGAGAATCGCTGGTATGCACAATAGATATTTCAAATGGGTGTTCAAATGGTTGCCCTTAGCCCTCCCCAATCTGCAGTGATTTCAAGGCTTTTTTTGTGATGACTCAAACCAGAGTTTGGCAATCCGCTTTTTGGCGTGTAGCTTGTTTTTTTTTTCTTTATCTCAGCCTGTCAACGCCATGGCAGGGTTGCGTTGGAATATGTCTTGCCACGTTCTCGTTTCACTTTGTGTTTGAAACGGTGACCAATCGTGACAAAAATCCATGCGCACATTTCTACTCATGTCTACTTCAACCTGTGAATAAACGGTGACCAATCGTGACAAAAATCCATGCGCACGTTTCTACTCGTCTACTTCAACCTGTGAATATATAAAAGCAATTTGCACAACATTTTGACTTTATTGGCATAAAATGTCAGCTCCTATGAGCAAAAACCATAATCACGTCCACAAAATGAACAATATTGTGCTGATCTATTGTTTTTACAGGCTACAGTGGACAACAGTGAGCAACACTAAAATTTTATTTACGTCCTTTTAGGCAGGTAGTCATGGATACTAGCTCCGGCTAGCACTCTTGGCTAATAACACTGCATGCAGCTTGGCCGCTAAACAGACGAGTTTAGCAGAACTAGGTCATCTTCTTTCCAGCCAGACATGGGCCTCCGTGTTGCAAACGGACACCATCCAGGCAGACGAGAAGCTCCGTGCACGCCGCCAGAACTGCCAGTAAGGCAGCTTGGAGCACCACATTCTCCACCAGGGCTGCCAGTAAGGCAGCTAGGAGCACCACATTCTCCACCAGAGATGCAGTGGCGTCGCTGTGTGAGTTGGCCGACTAGGTCACGGGTCGGCAACACAAAATGTTGAAAGAAAATTCTCCCCAAAACACTGGGAAACATTCATTATGTGTTTCTCACATTCATTACATGTTTCTCACGGGAGACGGGTGAAGATGGGGATGATTTGGGAGGCGTCATCCCCCCTACAATGGACTTAACACCACCCCTGGTTCACACATTAAGAAACCAAAGTCAAGAAAATGCGTGCAGTTGCAGTATTTTATTTGCAAATGATAAAAACTGACTTAAAAAATGGGAATTGCTTATTGCACATAATTTAAAGGTATTACATTTCATATTGCATGTGTTCTGAACACTGCCAGCATGTCACTGAGCAATGCACAGGCCAACAAACTTGCTTCGGGACACAACACAATTCACGTTGTGTTGCGAATATGCTGGGTGTGTGTCAATTTGGATTTAATCTGTGTAGTGAATCTTTAAACCTGAGAAAAGAAATGGGATAAATAATAACTGTATTTTTAACTATTATTTCTTATTATTCTGAAGGGCTATGTAAAATGTTTGATTTCTAATGCTCAATGTACAATGTCAAGTAGTACACCAAATGTGTGTAGCGTACTGAATTGTAATGGGCAAAATTCCATTGGTGGAACATAGTTTAGTTACCTCCTAAATATAACATTTTAGCTACGTCTGAAATCTATCCATCCACACAAATGTGTGTGTGTTTAAATAACCTGTCCTCATGAAATACACTTTGGCAGACTATAAACCACAACATAGAAATAATATGTCAAAGGAAAGAGCGCAATCACAGCAAAGTGGAATTACTCATCACACATTCGGCTAAATTGTCAAAATAATCAACACCCAATGTGCAAAGCCGAAACCGAAACATAGTGAAGTGTGGAGTAAGTAAACAAAACTCGTGAGTGGATGAGTTATTTTTTTTAATACAATACTTCAAACCCAAACCGCAAAGAGGGAGTGTGGACAGTCAACCAGCAAATCTAAAAAGAGAACCACCGGAGTTTGCTTTGTTCAGTGTGCGAGAAGAGGCGAGAGCTCTAGCAGGACAACTTGTGGCTGATCACAATGAGCTCCGAAAGATTCCATAAGAATGCATGAAAGTGTTGCCGATAAAGCTGGGGAAGTGTGTTTTAGCCCAGGGGGATTACTTAGAATGGAAAAACTTTCAGTTTATATATTGCAATGAAAAATTTTTTGTGGTGAGTGTGACATCAGTCCTATAACTTTTCTGACACACCTCATATATTAACGCGGACATGGCATCAGTGTACTTGTTGTACTATATTAATATCTACTGTTCCAGCTCGCTAGAAAGCAAATTCATTTGAAACGTTCCAAATTTCCTTGCGATGAGAAAAAAACAAAACATTAAAAGTGTTGGAGAATGTTTGGGGTAGGTTTGCGGCCTTGAACGAACCCTGACGAGAACTCAGCATACGCTAACTTCATCAGTGGGAAACGGACTTTAAAAGGTAAGTTACTGTGTTTTACACATTAGACAACCAGTTCCATTTGGATGTCACGCGTGGCTCGGGGTAATCACAGGAAGTCACCGTGTGTGTCATGGTTTAACGCTAGCCTGAAGACGAGAGTGTTGGAATCCATTGTCCTCAGCAATCTACCGTGTGTCCCCTCACCCTGTTGTTTTTGGTGACCTTTGCCTTAATTCAGTGTGGGCTGGGCGTCTCCCCAATCATTGCACCTGTCTCACCGCCA